TCAGCAGTAGATCTCACGCGCGAATTTCGAGCCAGAGGGCCGGTCCAAGGGTAAAGCACAGGGAGCAGGGCGATCACAGGACAGTAATCTATCTGGCAAATCCCCCGATTAAACGGCCCTTCAAAATGTTCAGCTCAATGCTCCAAAAATGTTGACAATTGTACTCAACGGTTCGCAACACTCCGTAAAGAACGCCAATCAATTTCTAGAGAAGCTCAAGAACCTGCATATAGATCATGACGAAACGATGGTCTCCTTCGACGTCACCGTTTTATTTACATCTGTCAATTTGCAACTGGCAAAAGAAGCCATCATAGAACGCCTGAACAACAGAGATGATAAAATTGGGAGTATGACGACTGCAAGCATTTGCAAGCTTCTCCAACTACGCCTCACAACATACTTCTCGTTCAACGTCGAGATCTACGAGCAAGTGAAGGGGGCACCGATGGGATCACAAGTATCAGGTATGATCGCTGAGATCGTCATGCAAAAGTTGGAAGAAGATCTACTACCAGCTATTAACCCGAAGTTGTGGGTACGCTATGTCGACGATACATTTGTAATACTGAAACGCAGTGAAGTAGCAATCGCACACCAACTACTCAACAATACAATGGATGGGATGCAGTTTACAATGGAGTTAGAGGCAGAAAACATGCTCCCATTCTTGGATGTATTGGTGACCAGAACAAACGGTGGTGAATTTCAAACGTCCGTTCACAGGAAAGGGACACATACGGAACAAATTTTGAACTTCTATAGCAATCACCCAAAGTGCCACAAAATAAGTTGCGTGCGGACACTATTTCGCAGGGTTGAAACACACTGCAGTACAGTGGAAGCCAAACGGGAAGAAGAGAAACACCTATTCGATTCGTTCGAGCGCAATGGATACCCCCGCAGCTTCATCCGCAGATGTCTAAACCATAAACTTATGAACACCGAGCCAATACCAAATGCAAGCAAGAGGGCCGTTTTGCCGTATATGAAGAACATATCTGAAATGACTGCCAGATTGCTCAAACAATACAACATCGTGGTCGCTCATAAGCCAAATGCTACTTTGAGAAGAATACTATCAAACCCAAAGGACATTAGGAATGCACAAGAACGAACAAACGTCGTGTATAAAATAAATTGCAATAATTGTGAAATGAACTAGGTGGGACAGACAGGAAGGAGATTATCCACAAGAATACAAGAACATCAGAGGGCTTGTAAAAAGAATTATGCATCGTCTCTTGTCTCAGCGCATGTGGATGAGGAGGGACATAGCTTCAATTGGAACCAAACAGTGATTTTAGCTCAAACAACAACACAGAAAGGAAAAGAGTTCCTAGAAGCATGGTACTCCTCTAATAATTCGATCAACATGCGCATCGACATCGACACCGTGTACCATCAACTCAGAAAGAAAGATCTCTGGCGAATCGCGAGACGTGGTTCAGCCGTGGAAGCAAATGGGCAGAGATCACGTGGCGCAAATCAAAATCGCCACCTACAAAAGTCACCTGCTCGTGGATGACGGACTGACAATTCCATAAGCAGCATTATACACTGCCTATAACTGCACTGAAGATGCCACCTCGTATGGTGGTATAACGTATGCGGTCTCTTAACCAAGCTCGAAAAAACGATCAAAAGGTGAGCATATGAGGATTTGACTGTTGCAAGTAGAGTCTGGTGAACATGAGCCCGATGACATTTAACTACATTCAGCGAGCGCTTACTCAGCCTGAATGCGGGCGTACTTCGATACGCATTCAGAAAATCTGGTTTCGGCAGCTGAGTGGTGTCTCTACGCTCACAAGGTCGTCGAGAGCGTTCGCCAAAAAACACCCGCATATCACCACAATCAAATGCGTGGTCAGTGTCAACGCTCATGCTCCCGATCGAGCGACAGTTTTGGACGCAGTCTCACCAGAGGTAACTAATTACAATGCGATCGACTTGCCTCCAAGGCTGGTGGACGCTATGTCACCCTCAGACGGGTGCTGTGTCGGAAGTTAACGCTCGCATCCGAATGAAGGCGCTTACACCATGTTGGCCGCCCAGATGCAGCTCATCAATGAACAATTTTCCAATATGAGTGTTCAAGTCTTCAGCCAACACTACAATGTCTGTGCTACTCTTCTGAGGAAGAAGCTCATTCAGTTGGCGATAGAAGTCGTCTTTTAGCAAGTCATCGCTAGAGTCTGTTGGCACATAGGCAGTGATGACAAACGGACACCTATTAGCACCGTGCGACTTTGAAGTTTTGAACGTGCCAACCAGTCGGACGGTACACATTCGGCTACTGACTGGGATCCAATCAACCAGAGCAGCTTTAGCCTGAGGATTCAGGGCAATACTAACACTAGCTTGGCCAGGACTCGGAGCTGCAGCGTCTCCAGATAGGTGCAATGAGAGAGCACTGCTAGTGTCATCTGAAGAGGATCGCAATACGAGCACAAAGCTCGAGTCTTGTGGATGATCCAACTTCAAATGTCGCATAAGCCGGCGTGGGTAGATCTCTGAGCTTCCGGACCGAAGTTGCTTTAGCAGACTGGATCCCAGTTAGTAGCCGGGTGCGCACCATCCGAGCGAATAGCTCGTTCAAAGCGTTGGAATCGCACTAGACCAACAGGCACATGTTCGTGGTTGCTGCCTACGCCTCCACAAACTGTAATGCGGACTCCATGAAAGATGACTTCCATCCTCCATTGAATGAGCTTCTATGTCACAGAAAAAGTACGCATACTGTAGTACTGGTTTGGAAAATTGACCAAAACACATTGCAAGCTCCCGTAGTGATAACGGTGAGCGGTTGCTACAGTTGCCCCAAGATGCTCATTCACTTTTAGAGAGCATAAACTTAGGATGTGCCTCTCGGAGCAGGGCTACATGGTGCCCATTAACCTCAGGCCAACCATGAACGCAAGTCAATCAGAACGAGATCACTTGCCGTTGGAAATGCTGCGACAAGAAGTTCCAATCGATCTGGAACACTTGCATGTGCCGATTTGCAGACTCGCGTCGGCGGACGCCTGCGACGACGATGTGAGCGAATAGACATTTGATAACTGTTGAAGCAAGATGTTTTGAATGTGGAGCAAAGTATGCTCGCATCCGAGGTGAATGAACACTCGCTGAATACAGTTGTAGGTCACTGGTCGCACGTTCACTAGACCTATTTGGCAGCAGGCATATCTTCACATGATAAATCGAATTACTAGTGCACAATGCGTCTTTACGCAGTATCTGTAATTACTTGGTGCTCGTCATGACATCGCGGATGGAAGCGAACACGAAACTAGCAAAGATCTCAGGGTGGGACTGCGTGCTACCCAGAAGAGACAGCGAAGCTTGGCGGTTCGATCATGCATCAGAGATGGGAATAGCCGCCGCACGCCTTCACACGCTTCGAATATGGGATGGGAATGTTGGAATCGTAAGAGGCTGTCGGAACAGATAAACCTCCTGTTATTCCCTTCAGTTTCGGGAACCAGCTCTTTTCTTACGAGCTGCACATTTATCAGAGAAGCTGTGCGAGCAGGAGACTTTCCCAACAGACTGGAGCCGTCACAGTGCAGTCCCAATTTTCAAGGGAGGTTCACGTTCGGAATGCGGCAGTCATAGAGGGATCAGTCTGATCTCAACTGCCTATAAGTTACTTGTCTTTGTTGTTCCTCACACTGACTGGCAGCCGTGAAAGCCAGATTAGTGAACAGCAAGCCGCGTTTCGCCGAAGTCGAGGCTGTATTGATCACATCACCTTACGCCAGTAGTTGGAGTACCGAGGTATTTTATTGGCAATCCACCGTGGCCGCATCCCTCAAAATAAAAGGTTTTTCAGATGTGGTGGACCGATGCGCCGTTTGAAACTGCTCAGCAAAGTTGTGACCGAGTAATATGTAAATAGTATAGGAGCGATGCACGCGCGTAGTTCAGACCGAGTGAGGGCTTATGGCGAACTCTCGCTGCCTTCCAAGATCTCCAGCGGTGTGAGACAAGGATGCCTGCTGGTATCGACAAAATCATAGAAGCTGCGTTCCCTGGACACGACTTGTAAATTGTGGAGCTGCTTTCAAGTGAGCGGTTTCATTGAGTTTGACTACGCCAACGACATAACCTCAATCTTTGACTGCTACCAAAAGTGCCAGGGAGCGCTGAATAAATCAGCAACGGCTGTCAATCGTTTCGGGTTATACTTTGCACCACCGAAATGCAAAATTCTTAAAGATCAAGATAGACCGACCGATCTGTAGTGGTGATCAATTAGGAGTAGCCCAGACATTCTAGTGAGTATGCGGTTATATCAGCGCCTGTGAAATACGATGCGTCCACGAACCATATACCAAAAGCCCGAGGTGCTTTCGACAATCTCCTCAACTGTGGCGACGGTACATAACTCTCCAATAGAAGAGCAGAGTTTACAAAGCAGCCGCCCGTTCAGCCTTCCTGTATGGTTGGGAAACATAACCAACTATATCGACAGAGGCCGTCGCTTGAGCAGGAAGAGCGAATGAACCGCATAGCGCCGTTATATCACGCATCAGACTCCGATGGGTGGCGAACGTGTAGAATAAATTATGATGTATCAAATTGTCAACACTATATGTTCTGTAACTCAAAGCTGATGAAAGCTTCGCCGGTATCAAGAGTATCTTTCTTTTATATTTTCGGTGTAAACAGAGGAGCAAAAGTAAATAATGAGTACTTATGTTATCATGGGTTGGCGTGGCAAACACAGGTCGTCTGGTCCTCTGTGGAACGATAAAACACGAGAAGGGCAGTAGTCGACCACTGACCTAGCGATCGACGTAAACAAAATGTGGTTGAAAAAAGTATAAATGTAAACTCAGAAGTCTTCAGAACATAATTCGGCCATGACAAATTGTGTGCCAGATCAGAGTAACCTGCCCAACACAGAACGGCGCTCTCAGTTATTAGCCAAAACGCGGCCAACCAAAGCGCACGACATGACCCAGAGAACGGTAAGTGTAGAGGTCACTCACCGTCGGCTGATTTGTCATTGGATGAAGGGGACTTAGAATGCAACCGGAAAGACACGAGGGCGCCCGCCTTGATGCGGTATCCATCTTTCGCTGTAATACGCGCTTTGTACCGTAGGCGTAGAGCAGGTAAGCTGAATAGACGGACTTGTTCTTCCGTAGTGACTAACAAACAGGGCGGAACGGTTGGACGAACTGGGGAAGTGAGGGGTGAATTTAGGCCTGTGGAGGAGCAAGAATCACTGAGTAGTAGAGTTTCTGGATCAAACAAATTATGAGAAAGTAAGTAAGACAATGGATAAACAACAGTGTGTAATCAGGTGTGCGGCATGCGGAATGTGATAAAGGATGCATTGTGCTTGATGGATGACATCAAAGTATACTGGAGGTGATAAGGATAGAATGTCAAACGTCCAAGTGGCCATCACTGTTGCACAGAGGGGGAATGTTTGACGCGTTTTAACCTATGGGGGGGGGGGTTCGTAAGTGACTCAGGCGCCTGGATTGCAGCATATACAGCCTAAGCACGAGTTCCGCGCCGTCTAGGTTTGGGTGCCCGGGCAGTAACCAGAATCGCACGTGACCGCTGGCGGTTGAATGGCAACGACATTGGACTGTAACGTGGTTAGCGTACATCCTTGACACACTGAGCCATACTGGGTGGTGCCCACGGGCTCTTTGAGAGCTAATCCTACCAGACTGGTCAATGGTTAGATGTCAGACCAACTCAGTCTTCTGGTCCTCAAGGTTGGGGGGGGGGTTGAAATGGGATGGCGTCCATTTCTGTAAAACTAAATCATTGCCACCGCCCCATGCCTTGAGGGCAAGCTTTTGAGCCAAAGACTTTGGTTGAGGACTCTAATCCTCCTCCTGTCTAGGTCTGAGCGCCCTGGCAGTATATCAGCTCACAAACAGCCATGACTTTCTCCTCAAACACAAACTTTATCCTGCATCGACCGTCGCACAGTTTCTCAAAGGCCACCTTCTCTGCTGCATAAAGCAGGGCGAATGAGCGAAAGTATGCTAATGTTGGCGTCTCACATCTTTCATTTCCACCAGTGTCTCTTACTTCCGTCCCAACCCACATTACTAACCTCCCTCCCAGCTTAACTGACAGCAGCTGCAATGCCACTGGAGTCCCACCATCTGCAGCTACTTTCCCGCATCACCCATCGGATGCCTATCGAAAACAATCCATTATAAGGTCACGCTGTCCCGTTTCCCTGGCGGCGTTCAACTTCCACACTCCAAAACTAATAGGTCAACAGGCTGCACTGGCACGTACGGTGGACGCACTGGGTATTGACGTAGGCTGTGGGTCCGAAACTAGGATCAATGACCATCATGGGGTTGTTGAATTAACTTCGTCCGGCTTGTCCTCTCGCTATTGGTTGCATACCTCAAGAGACGCCGATGCAGCACTCACGGGTCAAGCTGGGGTAGGCTCCAACGCTGAGCCATCCTTGGTTGATTGGATTCCGGTTAACAGCCATTCGCGTGCAGCTCGCTTGACGACATCGACCAAAGTTGAATCACGAAATAGTACCTAACGCTGTTTGTTTGTGGTTTCTGCTTATGCCCTCACCAACTACAGTTCTAACGCATCAAAGGACATCCTATCACGAAGTGAACGCGCCACTATGCAGTGCTTCTAGTGTAGATATTATATTACTTGCTAGGGATATGAACGCACAAGTAGGGTATTTGAGCCCTTCAGAAGCTCAGCTGGGTGGTAATTGTGGGCTTAACTCCGAACGGACTGACAACGGTGAGCGTCTGCTGCAACTGTGTGCGGAGCACCAGTTGTTTCTTCGTAGCACTATTTTTAAACACAGTGGGCGCCGAAGTGCCACTTGACGTCCTCCTGTAGGTGGCCAGAGATGGACGCAAATTGATCACACTGCCATAAGTTACAGATGGCGTGGTTTCATCCTGAATTGCCGCTAGTACTAGAATACTCGTGTCGACTCTGGTCATCCCTTGGTAAGCTGTCGTTTCTCCATGAAGTTTAACGGTAGGCGCACCAAGCGTCTCCCCCGACTGGCAACTGAGAAATTGTCTCAGCATTCGGTCAGGCAAGCCTATCAAGACACGCTGCGTACCGAACATTCGCCATCTTATCCTAATGAAACTGAGCTTCACAGAAACAGGATCTCGGCCGCCATGCACGACGCAGGAGCATCAGCTTGTGGCACTATCAATCGTCACTGCACCAGTAACTTTATCTGCGAGAGATCAGTGAACCTGTTGGGATCCAGAAGAAATCTCCCGGCTGATTCTGAGCACAATGTGACCAGACGGACTATTAGGCGCGAACTAAAACGGAGCCTATGTGCTAACAAGGAAGCCTGCTAGATCATTTGGGCTGAAGAAGTAGAGGCAGGAGCGATAGGGAACTACTGTAAGGTCTTCCAGCTGATCCGCACCACAGGTCACAGAAATACAAATGTCAGTGAGGCAATCAGAAACAATGCGGATGCGCTGATACACAATAAGGAGAGCCGGACGACTCATTGGGCGGAACACTTTCAAGAACAGTTCAGCTGACCCCCTGCTCCCGGACCTTTTCTTACTCAGGCAAGGCAGGACGAGCTATGGATGTCTCGTTTACAGTCTCCGTCGGAGGCCGAGATACGAGACGAAACCACATCCCTCAGTCGCTTTTGTGCCGCGGGCCCAGATTCCCTCCCACCTGCACTACATAATGATGGAGGTGGGGTGCTCTGCAAAGCACTGACCTTATACGAACATATATGGAAGAGAGTGGCTCGGCTAACTAGAGTGAATCGAGTATAGTGGCAATATACAAAAAGGGCAGACTCACAGACTGTTCTAACCACAGGGGTATTAACCTAACGCCAGTTGTGACAAAATCACTGGCCTCGATTCTCGTTCGTCGCCTCACTGCAGAACGGGAATCGCGGATTAGGGAAGAGCAGGCCGGTTTCCGCTCAGGACATGGCTGTATAGACCATATATTCACTCTGCGGCAGGTGCTAAAGCAGCGCCAAATGTACCGCAGACCGTCAATAGACGTCCCACAAATTCAAGAATGCGTTCGATTCAGTCGATTCTGCTCGAAATACATTTGCGAAAAGTTGTTCCCACGTAATAGGTGGACATCCTACGTGCTCTACACTCGAACACCACAGGCCGCGTCAGGGCCTACGGTGACCTGTCGAATATATTTCTGACCGCAAGTGATGTTCGCCTGGATTGTCCGATTTCCCCATTTTTATTCAATTTCGTCGTGGACTCCATCATGGAGTGTTCCCTTAAGGAATCACGATGTAGGCGCTGAAGTGCTGCCTGGTGAAAAGTTAGTTGATCTTGATCACGAGGATGATATTGTCTTGTTTTTTGACGACGTTGGGGCATTACAGGCAACCCTGTTTAGAGTGGTCCCATTATTTGGTATGCACTTCGCACCTTCAAAGCGCCAAGTGTTGCTGCAGTACCACTAGGCACTTGATGACCCCTTAACCCTTGATAACGAGGAACTTGAGGTGGTTGATCAATTCACTTATCTTGGCAGCTGCATCAGCAACGATGGGCACAAAAAAGCCGAGGTCAGTTCATGCACTGCAAAAGCCAGAACTGCCTTCTTGAACCTGTGGCAGGTATGGCGACAGAAGGGAGTTTCTCTTCATCTGAAAGGCCGGGTATACAAGACCACGGTGAGGGCCGTTCTGCTCAATGGTAGTGAGACTTGCCCCCTTCGGTCTTAAGACCTGAGGCGTCTTCAAGTTTTTGATCATCGTTGTCTGCGAAGCATTGCTAGAGTCGGATGGCACCAGCGTGTCCGAAACGATGATGTGCGTAGGCGAGTACTAGGTGGTGATAATCATGCTAGCTCCCTAGGACAACAGCTAGATAAAAAGGTTGATTAAAAAGCATAGAACTCGAACAAGCAAGCGGTAAAAGTAAAAGATGGTACGGAACAAAATGCTCAAATGATGCAAAGTACAGATACCAAATAAACTCACTATGGGGGGAGAAAGGGAAATAGGACTTTCCGTCCACGAGACGTAGGTTGAGTAGAGGAGCGCGGTGTTGTAATATGAGCTGCTTGGCGAGTTGCAGCCGAAACATAGATGGTTTAACTGACGAGTGTATGCTCACATCGGTAAACAATGCGTATGCCTTCACGATTCCTGCCTTAGTCCCCACGAACAATGAACCAACCGGCTGGTTGGTTGGATAATTTGATTGGTAGGTGGAGAACCGGAAGAGTGGAGGTCCAAATGCAAAGCAAGAAACAATAGCCGTGCTAGCTGACTCCAGCGGCCGATCGCAAATTTCGCGCTCGACACTCACGGGTGGAAAACCGGATGAGGTATGAACAGGGGTGTTATTAAGGCTCATCACGCGCGTCTCCGCATCTTCTAGGGGACCACTGTTTACTGTACGTCCGATGGCGCGGTTGTTCTGTAGGAGTAGCAGCCGAACAAAAATGCTGTCAATAATGGGCAATACATTCGCACAGGTGTTAAAGAAATCGAGCGCACTAGATCCGAGATAAGATGCAAAGGTGCAGAGGACTGTGTTGCCATTTTTATGGATGAGACAAAGTATAAACACAAAGTGCGACAATAATAACAAGCGCGGCATAAAGTCTATAAAAGGAATGGAAACGATTGGGTTGACCCTGTCTTTCCATATATCGGGATAGAGGGCCGAGACACCGTTCACTAGCCATCCGTATCAAGATAGGTGTGCTACGGTATAAATGAACTTAAATCCATTCGCTGTAATCAATATATCCCAAATTGACACAGGTGATGTCAAGAAACAGTCCCATGAAATCGCGAAAGTTGAACATTCAACTAAGACACAGTAAATGCCTCCAGTAATGACGAGAAATCAAAAAAGGGCTATTACGAAGAAAGACAGGCAAGAGGAAGTGATAAACATGGACGAAAGGGGTTATCACCGATGGATTTTATGGATCAACAGTGGATAACCAAGTTCAGTAGATAGAGGGTAACCGGTAAACCACAGTTTCAAATGCGGGTAAAAAGATTACGTTCCATACTCTAGAAAGGGGAATGTACCTATTCAGGTAATTTTCGGCCAGTAGATTGATCGGTATCACGAAATGTTTGCGACACAAGTTGTTGCACAAAACAATAAGATTGAAAGTAAGAATGAAGAAAACATTGAATTTGATATGCCGCATTCCTTAGACAAATGTCTGAATGATATGGCTAGTAGTCCGGCTTGCAGAATCAGTAAGCCCAAAAAACTAGGCTACAGAATAGTGTACCTGGTTGGACAGAACATGTGGATGTCCACTGCAAGATATGATAGAAAAGGAGGACCTCGGAGATGAAAGGTAGAACGAGCCCCCCCACCCTGACTTCCACGAATATTTCATTTGCATGGAATGGCCACGGTAATCAGAAGAAATCCTCATTTAACACAACCTATGGTAGTACCGCAGATAAGAAGGTATAGTTGTGTGAATGCGTGCGGCGGCAGTAATGAAGGCATAAAGCGCAGTAGTGCCTTCAGAGGGAACTTGGAAAAAGGGTACAATAGGGTGGGACGGCATTGTTTCAAAGATCTCCAATGATATTGGAGAACCAAGCAATGGATTAAAAGTTGTATGTACACTAATTTTTTACCGCAGGGTACTGACAGTTTCCCAGTAACAAGTGTTCTTGTGCTCTGAGTACATGGTAAGCACATTTCAGTAAGAGACAAAGTCAAGAAGTCAGTGTATTCCTTGAATGACAAAGTAAAATCACTCTGCACTGTCCGGTTTACCAAAAGTTAGTTGGAATAATTCCCCATGTAAACACACGCCGTCAACGTGAGGGGTTTTGGTGTGTGGGTAAAGGTTAATGGAAAAAGAGTAAGCAGGTGAACGAATGAGCGCTGGAACTACAGAATATATGATTCACTTCATGTTCATGCCAAATTTGTAGTAGGATGAACGATTACGCCAGATTTAATCATCTTCAAAATCTTCCGACAACTCACGCTTGTTATGGATAGAGTTGGAGACAAGGGTTAACAGTATAGTCAGCGCGATCTCCTGAGGCACAGAAAGGAGGACCCGTTCACATGGATGTAAAACGTTTCCTGTGAACAACCCGGTACAAAACAAAATCCGGGCAACTCATCCGTTAATCACAAAAGCCAAAGCCAGTATAGAAGTGACAATTCCCTGTAATTGATCCAAGCGTTGAAACATGTGATGTTCCTTTCCGAGCCCGTGATGAGAGCATAGATTTGTATTACAGAAAACAGTACGAAGTAATTTTCAATTCAGTTCAGTAGAACAACTATGATGCGAACACCGAAGGGCGGTAAATCTACCAGCTACAACTCGCGTCGCCAGAATAACAACAAAATCAAAAGTCAGAAAACGAGGTTGAACGTAAATAAATAGAATACAAAGAAAAGGAAATCAAGACAAAAGTGCGCAAACTTAACCGAAATCACACGAAAATTAAGAGTTAGATGCAAGAAGTCCCATACCGGAACACGGTGTCTGATAGAGTCTCCAACCATTGGTGTGGATCATTCCCATCCTCGAAGACAGTATGCAGCAGCCTGACCAAATCTCTCAGTTAATTTCTCCATGTCTTTATGCCGGCGCGTGGCTTTAAAGATCAAAAATCTGCCTTGTAATCCGAGAGCGCCGTTTCGAGCCTGCGTAGGGGACCGGCGACTCTTACAGCATCCTCAGTCCACGTGCGACCGGTGTAAGTTGTGCGGCAGCGAAACATCGATACTGCGTACCGGTGTACTACTGATGGCCTTTTTATGCCACACAAGTGAGTAGCCACCTCATGTTTTCACCCAACTCGGTGTAGTGACGGTGTATAAGACACACGGAGCAAGCCGGTCAACAGACATACGGAGGACATGAAATAGCCAAAGTAACCTTGCGCAAACACTCTACTGAGGCACCAGAAGTCTTGCCAAATATCAACTAGCGGACCCCAGCATTTCTCACCCGGTATTCCCACCAGATGCGAGTAAAGCTCTGCAAGCAGCCACCGTGAACTGGCCAGGTCTCTGATCCATACAGTACTACTGACTTTCACTGCTGCCGTAATATTCTCCGCTGGAGCCAGCTTTCAATTATTACGAGGCGGACTCTAATGGCCTCACTAGAGCAGCGAGTCAGATGGACTGGTCTTTACCAGAGGATTCATCAGTTGAAACCTGTCGGACTATCATTAAAGAGGGAGTGAAGTCATTGTGCGACCGATTTTTACCCCTCAAGTATCGGAGCGTTGGGCCAGTCAAACCACATTGGTCCGACAAGGAGTACAGGAAACTGGCTGGACGGCGACGAAGACTGTGGGACAGATTCATGTTGTCTGGCTCTGACGAAGGTTACGAGGCGTCCAAAAGACAGCCAAATCTCTGCAACAACGCGAAAATAGGAAAGCGCTGATACTTCGAACAGCAGCTTGTAGCTGCAGCAAAAACTGCTCCCAAGAGGATCTTCGACTATGTGAAGCGGCGGCTGAGACCTGGAGGCAATGGGCCAGTGTTGGAGGGTTCAGATGGACAGCCCCCAAACTCGAGCACTGATCGCGAGTTCGCATTGGCAACGCACTTCGCTTCCGTTTTTGCAAGTGACCAGGTGTCTGTACCAGGGGTTCGACGGGTACAGCCCCCGCTAAACTAGACAGCCTGGATTGCAGTAGTGAAGATATATGTAAGCTGCTGACAAGTTTTGACGGGACAAAACCAGTCGGGCCAGATGAAATCGATTCACAATTCCCTATCGGCCATCATCACGGCTTGTGACTGAGCTGTTCAATAGATCACTATCCACTAGTTCATTACCGAGTGACTGGAAATGTTCAATCGTAAAGCCAATGCCAAAAGGTGGTGACCCAAATAAAGTGGATAACTACCGGCCGATCTGCTTGGGCAAAGACGCTTGCGAAGATCATGAAGAAGGACCTTCCGCAACTTCGCGAGCTGAAAGCCTCTTGACGCTCACACAGCATGGTTTTGTGAAAGGCCACTCATGCATCACTAACCTGCTGTTAACGAGGCAGGAGTGATCGCAAGCGCTGAACCAAGGCAAGTCGGTCGGTACCATCTACATTGATTTCAGTAAGGCTTTTGACAAGGTGAATCATGCGGTGCTCCTCGACAGGCTGAGGGTGTGCAGCGTTGCCGACTCGCCGCATCAATGGATCAGGAATTAGCTTGTTGGTCAAAATTGGAGGGTCCAGGTCGACAACCATTTAACCGACTGATATACCTCGAGTAGTGGCGTGCACCAAGGCAATGTACTGGGGCCAATTTTGTACATGATCCATATAAACGATATGCCTCAGCTTTTCCGTTCGCCTTGCGCGTTGTCTGCAGATGACTTGAAGGTGTGGAGAGTAATCCATGCACCTATTGACGGTGACTTGCTTCAGCGGGAGCTCGACCGATTCTCCATGTGGCCTGCAGAGGTCAACCTTCCGATCAACCCGGTCGAGTTGCATGAGTGGGTAAGCGTGAGCACAGTCGGACGTACCTACACTGTGAGAGACCTCAGTGTACTCTCAAGATGTGACCTAAAGTAAATGGACAACACGAATAAGGTTTATCGAAATGGCCATCGTATGCTTTGGGCGCTCAAACGCAGCTTCAGCACTTGGTTCGAAGAGATTGCCGTGCTTCTCTTTGTCTCAATTATACGACCAACGCTAGAGTACGACTCCCGCATACTGTCCTATCACCCAGGGCGAGGTAGAAAGGATTGAACTGGTACAGCATGTGGCCACCAGGCGGATCCCCAATTTACGAGGTGTGCCGTACGAAGAGTAAGAGACTAGGGCTTTGCACCCTATCTTATCGTCGATTTCGGATTGACCTCATCAGGAGGCACCGGATACTACATCTCGGTGATTACCCCATTTGAGACCGCTACTGCATTTGGGTAAACCAAACAGCATAAGAGGACAGCGATACAAGCGTGTAGTACTGGATTTGAAGCGAGTCGCCCACCAGCTCCGTTTCGAACGGAGAGTTGTGAGTAGTGATGGTAGTACAACGTAGTTGAGGCAGACAGTGTCGGAATTCAAGAACACCCTGAACAAACACTGACGATAAAGACAAATCGAGTGCAGCTCAACATAAGGAGCCTATGAATCTGTGTGCAATAAGATGCAGCTACACAGAAATGTATCTTCTCGCTGCTTCGAATCAGTAATCAGTAAACAAACACCACTGAGGTCGGCTTCTCGCCATATCAGCTGGTGTATCCAAGCAAACGTGTTCATTGTCCTTCGGAGCCCAACAAGGCAGTCGGGAAACACCAACCGACGTCAACTTCGAAGTGAGAGACTTCATTTCTCTTGATCAAGTCATCGCCTGGCTACCCTCCTATTAATCCAGCCAGACTCCGGGTGCGCACACAACGCACGAGGCGGGAGTTGATGGGCTGGCATCTGCAACACATGGCCCAGCCCTCGGAGCCTGGTGCGTGACATAACGGTGCTGAGTAGCGTTATACACCCTACCTTTCACTGACAGGCTGATATCCCACCGTCTCCATAGATGGTCAAGTCTCCGAAAAGTCATACGGGCCTTGCTGATACGCGAAGTAACCTCCTCCGTGAGGTGACCACCTTAGGTGGCACAGCTACCAAGGTAAGTGAATCGATCTAGCACTTCTAGAGGCTGCCCGCTGAGAGTTGGAACCGGAGGTGCATTGTTCCAGTCGTCCGACAACCCTATAAACTTTGAATGGGCAAAACACATGCTGAAACGTGCAGCGTTTCGCATCAGTCTATTCAGTAGTGCCTGAATGGTCACTAAGTCAGACACAAGGAGAGTTATGTCGTCCGCATACTCTAGGTTTATCACTCGATCAGCTGGCAGAACTTCCACTCCAGTAGAGTCTGAAAGCTCCGAGTAGATCATGATCATTCGATAACAAAGTTGACGAAGAAAGGTGAACCCCACATGTCGTGTGGGGCTTGAAAAACAAGTTTTCGTAGACCCTTACTCGGCTTCGAGAATCAAGATAGAGGGATTTGGGAATGGAAAAGTGTTTTGTAGGCACGTCTTTCAGGGATAGACAGTACCACAAGTTGGATCGACCAACAAAGTGGAGGGCGGCTTTCAAGACAAGGAAAACTACCATAGTCGGTCGTCTGTAAGTGTATCTCTGCTCTAACACTTGGCGAAGAGTAAATACTTGGTCAATACAACCATGATCAGAGAAGGAAGTCAACCTTGCTTTCGACGATTTAGCTCTCAGGAGGATCAGAGGTAATCTTAATAAAAAGTGGCTAGAGCTAGCAAACAGATCAATGTCATACACCAAAAACAATGCCAGATTGTCGACGAACTCCAGATGGGGATATCACTAGTCTGACGGATTTCACAATATTTTGTATTCCAACAGGGTCAAGGAAAATGGTGCCAACAAACCAAGATTCCTGACAAGAATGAGTGGAGAACAAACGATGTGCTTACAGAAGGTGATCATCACCATCCACATGGATGCAGCATACACGGTACCAGATACATTGAGGATGTCGCAATAATGGATAAATAATGGTACAAATCACTTAAACAATCGGGGGGATATCAGTGTAACCGATCAACCATCTCAAATGCGACCACATTTAAAGCAGAGATGGAAAGCACATATATCTGTGTACGTTCTTGGCGAATGCCCAAAAATGAGCTGCTACTGTAAAAGAAGTCTCTAAATACATTATGCTGGTGATTCACTGCCATACTGCCAAATGATTGTGGCCGCATGTGGAATGGAATACAATTAGGGCACCTAAGCCCAAACAGCAGGAGAGTGTAGAACTTTAACCAAAGCCGTCGAGTTGTTTCGAGGTCTAGTCATGTCACTCCTAAAGCTGTGTGCAGCGAAATGTATTTGACCGCTAATCTTCCTGTTCACGTGATAATGCAAGAAGTTAATCAACCTATGAAGATCATGGGCCGGTATGCTAGACTAAGGTCGTCAGGCCACGAAGTCCATACGACAGTAGGTCAATTCGTAAATCAGAGAAGATGGTTGCCTTGAGAGTCCAAACCAAGGAGCTGGAGTTGTGTAACTACCACGGTTAAGGTTCATAGAAAGCAAAATATGTGCAAGATGCGAAGGAAAAATATAACATCAAAGGAGAGGAGAAAAACCTAATAGTACAAAGCATAGTCACTTTGGATGTAAACTAGAAGAGAGAGGGGATATACGACGGCCCTGGTGCGCCTTACTTGTTGTGGAAAACTAAGGAGGCAATTTTCTAATAGCCCTTATTAGGCGTAGAGTCGCGTTACGGAATCTTAGGATGAAAATAAATTTCTCTAGAGAAATTTTGAAAAACATCACCACAATGGATTGACCCGGTAAACTGAAACGAAAGTGACCTTTAAGTCGAGAAAAATCCAATGATTCGTCAGTATACACATCGTAACTTTAATACTTAAAATTATGTAAATATTTGTCTATGCATCATCTACCGGGACGAAAACCAACCTGACTTTCATCGAATCGGCTCCCAGATGGGCTTGTGATTCATCACAAGTTGATATCCGTGGACATTGGCAATAGAACTGGTGTTCTATGCTGGAATACACATTTGAGTGAGCTCCCTGAGCTCTCGTTCCAATGCGCTGATCTAGTTAGCAATATGTTACGTAGACAGTAGTCACAGTAATAGCAACCGAAAAGTAACTTTTCACCTTTAACACACACGTGATCCCATGCCTAACAAAGTTAATACTTATTGGGATGTCAAGTGTTAAATAATCTGTAAAGCTGCTACTCCACGGTAGTGTTTCACTGTTCCGCTACCTGGAGTCGCGATGGATATCAGTTTGTAAACGCATTAGCTAGCGTCCTATCTGGTAGAAAGAAATTGGTAGTATGAATGCAGAAACTACCGGATGAAGCCAAATCTCACAGATTATCAAGAGAGGTGGCAACGAGCTTGCTGAAAAAGCAACCTCAGCTGTAACGTGGTGACTGCAGATAGGCTCTCACAAAGCGTATCAAATTTCTTATTTACTGAACCGTTTTGTTTCAAACCCATCGTGTATCACAAGTGATTGTATGTGGGAAAATGTTTAATCGGTATAACATCGGATGCCCATTCAAACGAAACGGTCATCTATCTATATGCTTCAACAGCTACCAGCCAATGTGTGCTCGTCTATGCATAACGAACCATGTAACTTGAAGCAGCGTCTGCGTGCAGATTGTGAGTGAACCCTGTTCGTCAGTCTCGCGTTGCTTTTCAATAAAACCAGAACAAAAATTCAGTACTTCAGGAATAGAGCAGTCACATATGTATTCGGAAGTTTTGTTTAGTTGCTGCACGCGTCTGTAAATAACGATGGTGTCATCTTCATCGGGAGCTTACCACAAATTCAGTAGAACCCAACAAGCAATAACTTGAGGGTTTGTCCCGACAGTGGAGGCGCGGAGCTCAACTGATGCAACCGTGGGAGCTATATTTGTGGTGCAAACGTTTGGCTGGTCAACCGGTTGGTTCGTTGAACCTGGACTAATGAGCGCAATTGGTCATGTTACCAGGCCAACAAATAAATAAAGAACGTGTGGACGAAGAAGAATCTAACGAAATCGTATTCAACAATCGGCTGTAAAAATAACTAGCCGGAAGCAATTCAGTAGCAAATTCACTTTTACGCAATAACCAGTACACTTTTCACTGATTATCCGGTTGAATGCTCACACGGACAAGTAGATGGAAAGATACGATAAGCTGAAGTTCAGCAGACACCCTTATGGGTTGTGGCGAGAGTAGTTGTAGTAGACGTTCGTCTGGTCTGCGTTAGCTAGTGATGGCACACTGGAACCGTTCTGTTTCATCCTCTCATCAACAGACGGAGAAGTTGATTCTTCGTAACTATTAGCGCTCGTGATCCAGAAAGGTAGGATTTTACAGATGTGCATGTGAAGCGATTAGGATAATCACACACAAGTGGAGACAGTGTGCCTGAAGATGTTTGTTTTCGGTCCAATGGGACGGCGTTGTAAAGGTTGATGAGGCATCCATCAAACAAGTTAAAACGTTTTTATAGTCGTCAGACTGTGCGCACGCATTTAAATGGTCTCAAGAAAGGTAACCAGCAATTTGATGTAGGAACTTTACTCTCTAATTACCGGGATCCACAAATAATTTATGAACAGTTCCTCGGGTTCGCCTATTTCACAAATTTTGGCTATAGGAACGCGCGTTAGGCTATATGCAGTTATATGCGCACATCTTTCCCATGTGTCGTTATTTCGTTGCAGCACTTTACTTCGAGTTGGATGGGCCAAAAATGTAATCAAGAGGCATGTAATAAACAAATAACCGGAAAAAAACAAGAGAGATACCAATGAGGTATGAAGTAGACTCAAAGATGCGCTAGCTGCCTGCGCAGACAAGTCAGATCAGCATAAAGGGATAAATGAACTGTCAAGTACATGGTGCTTATCCAAGAAGGCCTCCATACAGTGGAGACATGCATGAAGTTGCCAAACAAAAAATTGAAAGGCATAGCTTACAGTAGTTCGATCTGTGAATGATTTATTATTTGAATCGGCGATAAACATACCTGCGTACAAGTGTCTAATCTTAAATTTTATGAGCAAGCCGGACATTCAACGGGCTACCGTCGAAAGATTGAGGTATAATAGATTGTGTATGTTCATAACATAGTGGTGCATGGAAGCAGAACAGAGCGCCAACAGCCGAGATTCGGAATAACCGCGTGGCGCAGTACTAAGCCTAATCGGATTGTGTTAACATATATCCAATTCACCGACTTGAGAAGCTTTGGGCGCATGGAAGCGACACACAACAAACACGACCAAGAATACTGGTCAAATATGATGGACAATAACAGTCTGCTGACAATTAGTATCGACGTTTCGCAGACACATGAATACCGACATCCGCATGCGGATTAAGGGTACTGCAAAGTAGCCCGCACATACGCACAATCGAACCAGCGGCCCCTAGATCATGAGCCAGACGCATTATTTACTTGGTCGCCGGCCGGTGATGATGGGACAGAGAAGAACATATGAGTTTTGGCAAAAAAGAGCACTAAAAGAATATAATACCTGAGTAACAGTACGACGTATTCCAGCTCGGCTTATCTGCGTGGGCTGGACTTCTGTCGTTGCTGCCTTTGTAGACCGCATTCGTTTGAGTCGACGGAAAGAATCGCGTAGACTCTTCTTTAACTCACGAGTGCGGCGACGTGCCCAGCCTTCACCTGCAGCGGCTTCCTGCAACGCGTCCAAGTTGTCGGGTAGGGTTGTTTCAGCTAGAAGAACCACCGGAGTCACTGGTTCCCACTGCGCGGGAGGCTGAGAAATGGACTGGTCAGTTGCAGTTGTAGGTGGCGGTTTGGACGGAGGAAGGAAGACGACACCAAACCCGTGAGGAGTACCCAGTGCGACCAAAACTCCGATGGAACAAGGTGCTGGGTACACTGAGAGAGTCTTTATATCCCGATGTGGTGTAGGTGCCTCCGCTAACCCTAGAGAAGTACATCGACCGGGTGGTTGGACCATCAACACACCGACAGCTTGCAGTTGAGCAGGGGAGGTGGACAAGATGACACCATGTTCGACCCCTGTTTGGAGCTAGCATGTGTCGATATAAGCAACGATTAGGCAGTAGATTAGTTGGTGTACTAAATGGAACAGAGTGAATGATACCTTAATACGTAAAAAACTGAAAGATCCGGTTGTTGCTTACAGTTCGTTAATAGTTGGTTTAAATACAGGAACCGGCGAAGGGTAGCGCATGGCCAGTTTCGAGTGATAAACCATGAGTAAGACAGCTGGCTGTGATAACAGTGAACTACTTGTGGATCAAGGGACCAAGGTAAAAGAATAAAGGAAGAGCAAGGGATACTCCGTTTCTATTAGGTAATGTTTATCGATGCAGAACCTACGGGAACAGTACAATACACCCTTGAGTCACATTTTGCTTGAGTGAATGATACTTATGGTACATGAACAGGTATGGTCAATAAGCTAATGAATGAGTGGCAAGGGCAGACGTCACCATATAGTTATTAAAACCATCAGTTTGTCCCGAAAGGGTGAGCGTGTTTCACGCGTAGTGCGGGTAAACAAAGTGAGCAGACTTGTGACATTAACAAAGTACGATTAGGTGCTAGTCCAATTATTCCGGCGAATATCAACCATAACTATCCTATGTTAGTAAGTAGCAAAATAACGATTGGGTCAGTGCATCTGCACCGAAAGATAGGGGGTGCAAGGTTAAAGAAAAACAACAACTAGTGTTAAGAGGGGAAGAGCATTCCTCGGTGTAATATGGCCTGCTACAACAGAACATTTAAAAGAAAGAGTACGAGAAAAGTAAAGATTACCTTAAGAGGAGAGTGCCCTTTCCAATGGAACCCGGGGAGCTCAGTTTTCAATATCACATTTGCGGGAATTAGGGGAGGGGCATGATCCAAAAACTGCCAAACGGTGATCTAAAATAGAAGAATGAACCAACGGAAACGGAAGGCATAATAAATTAATTGAGAGGTGGGTGGCAGAGACCGGTGGATGTGTGGATGGCGAACACGGAGAGAAAAGCTGAAAGAAAATGTAACGCGAATGGTGCAATGCGGTGATACGCAAATGGACTCAAATAGAAGACCTGTGCACAACGTCGGTCAATAAAGTAAAACACACGGGAGGGTTGCGATAACCAGAATACCCAAATAATAGAGATAAGGTGTGGATAAGACTGTGCATACACACACCCTGCTGCATTAAGTGAGTACCGAGAATAGATGACGAGCAGTCCGATACAAAATGTGGTGTCCAAAAGGACATGTGTGCAAAGCTCGCAAAATTGGTTGCGGATGCATGTTTCTCATTAACGAAGGTAACTGGTAAGAATAGCAAGCGTGAGTAAACTCCAGGTGATACCGAAATAATTCAGACATAGAATTTTCCTACTACACCATTAAGGTGTAAATGAGATCTGAGTGTATTAGACGAGGTGTTCATTAGACGACGACGACTGCCAAGTGATGCGACTGCACAGAGGTTCAACGATCATGTCAGGATAGCCAACTCGAGAGAAAGGCAACCACACATCGCAGCCGAAACATTGTGGGCACGGGGATGGAGCGTGCAAGAAACATGCACGTGCATCGAACGCTTTATTAGCATAACCTGTGCCAGCGTCTGTCTGGGTGAGGGCAAGATGTGGCAAACGGCCGGATCCACTCTATGCGACCAGTATGAGAAGATTAGTGATTCCAAGCCCCACAGGAACGAGCGGACCAAGAGTAAGATCAATGGTCTAGGTAATGAATCGCAGGTGTTAGATCAATAGCGTGCAAAATTTTACGGTTAGATCCACGCGTGCACACGTGTCAACGAGAATACGTGGCTCACGGTACAAATAATGATTTTGGGCTTGAGTGAAACCATGTGCACGTTATCACCATTGAGCAATCAGAGCCAAAGAGCATGCGCGAAAGGACAACATCAAAGGAGAGGTAGTTCTGGTTTACGTCAAATTATTGGCTGGAATAGACAGTTAGGAAGCCAAAGAGGAGAGCTATCAGGCGACGAGAAAAGGACACAATATATATATATATATATATATATATATATATATATATATATATAACAAATCTGTAGCGTGCTAAAGTCAAGAAGTCAAGAATTGATCACATTTAGCGACATAGTCTATATACCTGTCCGGCAGCGCCACCGACAATGACGGTATTGTCTACCAATTTGATAACTTGCACAGAGACGCGATTATCGTCAATGAAAGGGTCGAATACGCCCGCGTGGCGAAACGGGGGCCAAGAGTCTGCATCATCATCGAGTTCGTTAGCATGGCCCTGAGCAAAAGGAAAATGAGCACAAAGATACACTACCGCCTAGAAAGGTGCACCGAAGCAAATCAGAATACTTAAAAGTTATACTTGCGTTTTGTTATCTTAGGCAAACATCAAATGGGGCACTTTTCGCGCAAACAGACGCTCAGCCACCAATATATATATACAGTGGATTCCCGGTTAATCGGACCACATCGGGACAGGACCATTTTGGTCCTAATTAAGCGGCTGGGTCCGATTAACCGAAGTTACCCCGATGTAACAAGATGGGACGTGCTATACATAACTACTATTATGACCTGTATTGGCGGCATATATTTATAGCGAAACACACAAAGAAGAACTGCTTTGATAACGAACTTTGTTCACTGAAAAAGAAATTTACAAGCAAATTCTTCGTAACGACCTACAAGATATTCAGCATTGCGAAGTACAGTTTTATACAAAGTTATTACCGAATTCCATTCAGCGTTTGAAGACCGTATCCAGTGTGATTTGACGCATTCTTTTAACAGACTTCATTCGCACAAAATCACCACAAACATGTAACTCAGTAGATAGGGACTACCTTCATTTCCTTTCCTGCATGAAATAGCGGTGCAATGTTTCAATGCATTTCCTTGCATCCTGTTTAGTGACTGGTATCAACACGTTAGGGTTCTCTTCATCACTTCCATGGTCTTCTGTTGCTGTCATGTGTTTCGCTGTTATTCGAGCAACAACGGCAGCATCGCATTCTTCATTTCCATCATAGAGTTGAAGTTTGTTGTCGATTGACAAAAATTCTTCGTAATTTTCAACTTGTTTCAGCCCCACATTCTCGCCGTCATTTTCATTTACAATCACCATATCCACATCCATCTCCGAGACAATATGCTTAAAGGCACAGTGAGAAAAACAGTTCCGAGTTGTCGCACTGCTCCTTTGTCGCCAACGTTCGGCCACGAATGTGACGGCTTTGCAAAATGTTGACCTTGCACTGATTTTTCCGGCCGTTGAGGATGAGATCAGCAAGCTTCCTCAATGATTCAAGGATGTAATTCACCCAATCTTGAACGATAAAAGTCTTCAAATTTTTTATGATGCCCATGTCCATTGCCCTGTATCAAAGATGTGGTCCTTGGAGGCAGAAATTCCATCTGGATATTCTTCAAGAACTCCAAATTTGGATGTGCTGCCACAATTGTCGAGAAGTTAATAACACTTTTTACTCGACTGCCGTTGTAGCTCTGTGTCCCGATCTTTCACCCATTCTTTAAAAAGTGTAGAGCTCATCAGGCAAACTAAGAAAATAAGGAGGAAAGTCAATTAAATAATGATAATACCAAGATAAGGAAAATGAAAAAAACAAAAAGCTCATACAAGTTGGTTGGGAGAAGAGGAATGTTTGGTACTGTTATGCAAGAGTATCAAGCTGACGTTCAAAACTTACAACCGTAGATTCCATAACGACGTACTCCGGAGGCAAGTTCCAATGGCCAATAACTCGGTGCGAAAATGGAATTTCTGTCTTTATCCGGTCAGAACGCAGTTTGTGCAGGTTCAAGGGGTGACCGCGGGGACTAGGCAGATTAGCAGGAGTAAATAGTCAGGACCAGTTTGGGCCGAAATTACCCGCTAGGATCAAGTCCTCTCTAATTCTCCGGTAGTGCACTGAATACGTCCCCAAGCTAAGGAAACATTCGGGATACGTTTGACCTTGTAAACTCTGCACCAACCTTGTGCCTACTTGCAAAAGCCTCTCAAGTTCCATTTTGTCCTTTGAAAGACATGGTGGACATGCCTAGATACAGTATTCTAAGTGGGGTCTCACGAAAGCTGAGAGAAGCTTCACAAACATATCGACCGTAGAGACACCGAAGGAGCGGTGAATAAACCACATCATACGGAACCCTCTACAATCAGCCTTCTTCCAGATCTCAAAGTGAAAAGCTAAGGTATGGACGACGCCTAGATCAACCTGCTGAGTGACAACGGATTTCACTTCCACCAACAACATAACGCGTGGTGGGAATAGCAGCTCCAATGCGGACAGGCAATTTTGCCTGATTTATAGGCATCAACCATAAGGTTGAGCAATCCCAGAGCCTATCGAAGGAATTATGAATCGCCCCAGAACCTCCAGGGATATCCACAATATTTCAAAGCTTGAGGTGATTAGCAAACAATAGGGACGGTACGTCAAGATCTTGTGGCAGGTCATAGAAATAAACTGCGAAAATCAACGGTCCAAAAACCGAGCGCTGCAAAACGCCAATAAGAGCATCTTGCCTAAGCGAAAGACTATTCACCACGCGCACAGTCTGGAACCTCACCTCTAGAAAAGCATACACCCAATTAAGAGCGCCACCAGATATCCAGTAAGACCTCAGCTATAGTGAATTGTAAATGAAAGACAGCATCAAACACTTTCGAGAAGTCGACGAAAAGCACGTCAATACTTCAGTCCAGCTATTACGAGCTAAAAGTAAATTTGTCAGGCACGAGAATCCCTTACGAAACCCGTGTTGTGTAGCACTGAGAAGGTTGAATTTATCCAGATGGTTATTCACCGGATCTCTTTTTAAACAACTTGCTTACTATGCTTGGCAGACTGACAGTGGTAGAGTACTGTCACGGCGTAGAAAAATCGGAGATGATTACCTCCTTCCATTCCGAAGGTAAGGTACTGCTGTCGAGCGATATTGTAAACGTGCATGTAAGAGGGCCACTTAGTTCAGCTGTCAATTCATGCATCAGCTTCGGACGAATTGAACCAGGGCCAAGAACTTTGGAAGGATTTAGCCCTTGTAACAGCCCGATGACTTGAGTCACTGTTATGCAAATTTCAGTCAGACAGGAATCCTCCGGAACTCTTGTGACCAGCGCGACATGTGATAGAGACATCTCACAAGCAGACTTCAGTATACTGTTCGCTAAGTATACAAGCCTTATCATAGTCGGTATGCACACAGGTCTCGTCCGCACACGGTAAAGCTGGTATAAATGAGTTTGCACCACTGCGTCTGTTTACGTAAACAGAGAACTTTTTGGGGTCAGTTGCGGCTGCGTCAGAGAAATCCTTCTCGTATTAGAAACGAGCAGTCTTGAGATGTTGCTTACATTTATTTCTAACTTCTCGATGAGTTTAGTAGGTGTTGGTTAATAGGGCTGCTTGGTATGTTGGCCAACACTTAAACCGGTCCCGTGAAACCATGGAGGTTGAGACGGTTTTTCCTTTTTCTTCATGAGTGAGATGCAGGGAGCAGACACCTCGGTAAGATATGCTTTAGATTTCTCCCAGACTGGCTCAATAGTGTCAGCCACGGGGATCACATAAAGCAGTACTGGAGGTTTGGCCCACACTGCGCTAAAGTCCGCCAGCCAAATATTTGGGTATACCTCGGCAGCCTGATGATACTTAGAGAGAGCACATCAAGAGGATATGTAGACACAGTTGGTGGCCCCTAGAGGATAGCCGTATGTAACATCACTTACGAAATCAAGTGACTTCGCAAAAATAAGATTCAAGGTAGACGACAGTTGGTTGCTCATGTACCTAGTCGGGAGGTCCAGGAACTGATGCAAAGGCAGTTGCAACGTTAGCTCGAGAAGATCTGAACCGGTGACAATCGCCGAACTGCAAGACATATCAGCTCAACAAATCTCGGGGAGGTTGAAGTCCCCCAGTTCTAGACAGCTATTGGTAGCCTGAATAAGAACAAACTCAGTAACCTACTTGGAGGCACTTGCAGGACTTCGATCTACTGGTACAACTGTAAACTAGGGACAGGAAATGCACACAATAGTCGAAAGGGCTCCGACTGTTTGATCCACCGACAGGGCCACAACACATCAAATTTATAGCTCACATAAAGAGCGACGCCCGCGCCCAAACGGCCAACGGAGTGATCACATCTAGGTAGCGCGTAGCCAGGTAAACGTACTTCATCATCCGTGACATCCAGAGACAACCACGCTACAGTGAAAGCGAATTTGTTGGGACGAGGTTTATCTACAAGTAGGCCCACCTCACGTACCTTGTTCCTTAGGCTATGCATATAGCTGTGAAGTAACTGAAGGAACCCGGTACGACCAGCCCTGCGTCGCGGACTAGGATGATGGGTTCTGGTTATGAAGAAATTGACCTCCGGCTGACTACCTGGAAACCCACAAGCTGCAGGCCTTTCTCACCAGCCGCCCGTTTGTTTTTAGGTCTTTGATGGCCTCCCTACAATTTCAGTTTATCTGCCAGTGGGAGGCGCGGATGAACGCTGGTATTGCTACCTTTGAGCCTGAATGCAAGATGATATAGTAACACTTTGCATTCCTTTAGGGGACGCTCCCCAGTCTGGTCACCTTTCTGATAGCGACACCAGGGAAACTAGGTGGAAGCATCTTGGTGACGCCCAGTTTGAACCACTGGAGGTCATCTAGCATACATTCGATGTGAAGGGCTGCAGCAGATTCAGCTACCTTACGGAAGATAACGCTTCTTACAGCGAAAGTACGGTCTCGACGATGCGTATTCACCTGACGAGTTTTCGACTCGACACCAGGTTTGCCCTAAGGTGGCACGGCGTGTAATTTCACCAAAAAGCTAGGGTAATTGGGGTAAGAGCTTTGTGCTCTACCTCCAACACCTTCATAATTCTAGTCCCATCAGGCTTTTCTGGGGTTTTACGGCATTTACTAATCCTCTTTCTCCTGATTTCAGTGGACATAGAGGGCCATAAGTTCGGCCTCTCTTTGGACAGCGTCCGCTACACCATCAGAAGCCTTGTTAGGGGAATTCTGGGTAGCTGGAGCATTCGACATGGTAGCCGTCACCTTAGGCGGATTTTTACTGACATCAGATGAGACTGGTTAAGTGGATCCGTTCAATGAGCCGACATCGATGGAGGCTACAAGTTCCTACATCAGTAACTCCACTTGATGGTAAAGAAAAGTGAGGAAAGACCACATTTGCTGGCCACCCAACCCGACGTTTCTCGATGCCTCATCTGTGACATCAAGATACCCAGACCGAGGACTACAGTATACAACACAAATGAACAGCAAGCTATCGCTAGTCGATAGCACTGAGTATTGGTCAGAGCCCAATTTTAATTTTCTTGCACTGGACTATCGATTGAGCGTTTTCAGCGTTTTGGTGAAATCCAAAATTATTTCGTTCAAATTTTGTGTAATAATTGCCTGAACGAGATACAACTGGAGAAAGCAGAGAACAATCGCAAGCCGTCTTGCAAGATGAATCATTCCGTTGTGAACAGCTCCGCGTGTTTAGCTCAACAAGCCTGAGGTGCCACCAGGTTTCAGATAAGCTCTCTTGGTCGTCAAGTGCGATCTTCCCGGCACAAATTTCCGCCGCTGCCAGCAGCCAAGTATCATCTGACACCAATGTTTTTACTTGGGTTGTATCCTACGGGCACAGCTGTCACGGTGTGTGAAGGCCCGTGTACTGAAGACATGTGGAAAGTGAGAGGAAAGATGGAGCGATCGCGAATCAACGACAGGCCAGACCAAGTAAAGCTCGGGAAATTCCTCGTCCTGCAAAGTCAACGTTGGTCAACCAGAGGGGTTTTAACCACGTGATCAGCAACGCTCCTGAGTCCAACGGTCCAACTCCCCAGATGCGCTACGATCATGATGTCGCTTTTACCGAGCCTAACTCCTCAACGTGAGTGAGGACGCATTGAAAGTGAAGCAAAGTATCCGTCTTGGAAAGAGTGAGCAACAAAGTCGGCCAATGAGAATTACCTTCGTGAACGAAGTGAGTCCGAGGCTGATCTTATCCTTCTTAAATAGGTTGAAAGGTTTAAAGATCATACCAGTGGTCGAGTGGTCTGAACGCCTGGCTTGTGATTATAAGGTCAATGGAGGTGGATGGGCCATAGTTCACTCCACACTGGACGGAACTCCTGAACTTAGTGCGGTCACGAGGAAAGTGTACCCCCTAGCCACGATCACAGTCTCGTGGAGTAAGTAATCGAGGTAAAGGATGTTAGACAAGTAGGCACCTTGTCAACATTTACACCAAGCGCAGCCACACCGGGGATGTCAAACAACCAACATAGAATTTGAAATAAAGTAAAACATGCAAAATTGACAAGGAAGATGTAGCGGAAGAACAGAGCTGAGTAAGCAAAATAAAATGGAATAGTTTTTATTAATATTAAGAGCTAGTTTAAGCGTAATTCGGTGTAGCCAAACTGCGGTGAAGTAGGCATAACGAACTTCAGCATGAGGCATAAGAAAACATACCTATCCAAAATTCTGCTTGGCAATATGGCTGTTTCCGGAGTTGGCCTTGAAAGGTACTCAAATTCTGCTGAAACAAGTGAGGCTTTGGACGGCGAGTTAAGGCGGATCGATGCTACCCAGCCATGGTCTGTACCGATTAGCAGGCTTTTGCTATCAGATGTGCAACAAATGGAGGTGATGTGACTGGCTTCGTTCTGCGCTTCAGTGTCACCATTAAGTGAACTAGAGTTGTTGACGTTCCCGCTGCGCAATTCCGAAGTCGCTTTCTGTAGGCGCGAAAGCTGTATAATGCGTACAAATGAATGAGCAACGGAATTTAACTCCCATAAATAAAGGTCGTCGCAGCTCGTCAGGGTAACCAGCTTTCTCTAGAGGGAATGATAACGTAACAGAAGAGCTTACTTCACCGACGATAAAAAGAACTTGGATGAATTCCGCTTCATTGTTGTGCGCACCCGTAAAAACCACACCAGGCTTCCCAAAGCTACAAAATTCATATTAAGGAACCAAATACGGAAAATATTGTAGAACACTAGGATGTTATCGACCCAATAGCCCGACTGCTCGGAAACAAGGCACATGAAAACAAGGATGCCAAGTTACATGGCATCCCAAGGTTGGGATTTTTAACTTGTGCCATGGTTTACGTGCCGACAAGATTTATGTAGCAATAGTACTTGAATACCAGTACTGTGCCGGCCACCAAAATGCCATCAGTCAGGGGCTAGAAAAGTGTAATTCAGGCCTATCTCTTCTATGATAGGTGATTGAGAGATCGGGGAACAGCATTGTATGTGTTACCGAATTACACCGACTGACGAATGGCGAAGCAGTCATGATTTGCCTCTGACAAGGGGAGGCAATATCGATTGATAGTCGCAGCAGCCTTGAACTATACAGCCAATAAGATGTAAACAGTAAGATGTTCGCCGTCATCTTGCTCTTGTTGTGGATCAATAGGTGTCATCTAAAGCAAAAAGTACTGCAAACAAAGCTATGCACCAACACTCTGGGTGAAAGTAATTCCAAAATCTGTCACAGCGGCGATGAAAGACAGTAGCTGATAAAGTTAGATCAAAAACGAAGCCGTCACTGCACTGCTTTTTCATCTAATGATTCCAATGTTTTTGACCATGATCAAGAATTTTTAACCCGCTCGCTTATAACTCGCCCATATCTTTCCATTGTTGCCAATTTTCAGCAGTATGGTAACGTGAACAATGTGATGGGGTGTACTGCATATTGATGTTCGGACAAGAATCGACAGACTATTCAGTCAAAGAAACAGTGAGCCCACTCAAGATGACCCCACTTATTCAGCTGCCTTGTAGCCGAAAACTCCTGGCAGTTGAAAGACATATTCTATAGAACGGAAAGTCTTTAAGACCGGGTGACAAAAGTCATGAATGTCAATCGATTTACAATCTAGTGGTCGATTTACTACCATCTAATTAACTATTAATTGATAGTACACTTAGTTACACTACGCTGTTTCTCGAACAGAAAATGTTTCGGTAGGTGATCTTAGTGCTCGTACTCGCAGTAAGTGAACGTCATCTTACAGTTAACATGTGTTGTGTCACAGTACCAAGCATACAAAATCGGCGACGTTGAGAAAACATATTCGGTGTTTCCCTATTTATAGTTAGAGAGAAACAAGAGGTTAGATGTATGTACCACAAAAGCGAAGAAGGTATGCTGCGTTTGATTGCAGAGCGTAAGTATGGAAGCCAACGGAAGCTGCATGCAAATCCTAAGCTTGTTCCTTTGAACTCTCCACCTGAAGACTGGTTTGAGAAGACAGTTGAATTCTAATGTCATCTACCATCACAAAAGACCGGAATTGAACGTGATTTCGCTGTTGGTGACATGAGTGTCAAAGCGGTAGGTCCCCACGCTACAGCTCGGTTTGCACGGAATTACGATTTTCAGCAGAACGCAGTTTTCGGCTCGTAGGACAAGACATCAGAGGTGTAAGTAGTACGCCGGTACTCAGTAGCGACGCTTCGCTGTCGCGCAACTATCACGTCGCACGTGGCCTAAGGATACTGCGAGGGTCGCCCGGTCCCTACGCAGGCTCGTACCCGTGCCATCGGATTACAAGGCAGAGTTGTGATCCGTAGGGCTACGGGCCGGCACAAAACAGCAGAACACACCAGTTTTGGCAGTATATTCTATCATCAGATACAACACATCGCACAATTACGATAGGCCAATCGATGAGTAGATTGGTGATAAACTGCTGCACACTAAGCTGATAAGACCAGATAATGAGAAGTAAGAGAACTCAGTTCATGCGGAAGCAGCACCACCTCAAGCAGAATGCGAGTGGAAATCATAATTGTGCAGAAGGTATAAACTAATGATGATACAGCTTTATAATCCTTTCGCGTCGAGATGCTGGTGCCGGACCTTAAAAAAGCCATTAGGGGCCCATGCTAACTGCGACGCCATCGGCCGATGATTGTCGGTCAGGCAGAAACACGTGCCAAGATTCAAACTAAGCATTGGCATAAGTATCGTCATCACCATTATATACGTTAGCTGGAGTTGGAAAACACCTCAGCCACTGTGCTGGAAAACACAGGAAAAGAAAACGCACAACAGAGGCACGACAACTTAGACACCAATAACGGATGTGTATCGTTCTCGAAAGCTACCAACCGGCTATTGTGCCACAAAATAGTTATATTATGCTTAATAAATGAGATCGTGGTTAGAGGGGAGGGACAAAGAACTTACAATACAAAATTCACTCAGGTCGGTTCTTGACCAAGTCAACAAGTGTATCCAGAAAGACGAATTCAGCGTCCTTCGGACCCCAACCATGGAGCATAGAGGCCCCAACCGAGGCCAACTTCGTACTAAGGGTCTTCATTCCTCTTGACCAAATCATCGCTTGGTAAACCCTTCTCTTCCTCCAACCACACCCCCGCGCGAAAACAACGCACATCGCGGGAGTAGGTGTGTTGGCATGCGCAACACGTGTCCCAGCTATCGGAACCTGGTGCGTGAAAGAACGGTGCTGAGCGGTTTAGTCGCTCTGCCTGCATCATAAACAAGGCGTCGAACACGCATATTGCTCACGCAGTGTTCCAACTAAATATGAGCCAAACCGCGAAGGCACCGGTGGCCGAGAGGTCTCGGCATTCCTGGGTTGCAGGCATAAGGTCACCGGTTCGAATCCGCATAGGGGCGGGAGTCCTCGCGGTTTATTCAGCCCACGCACAACTTGTCATGGTCGCGCTGCAGCGAAGCACCGTTACAGCGTACAGCTGGCGATGTATTTTCAACTGTTTTAGATCATTTATGTCTGTCGATCTAACGGGTTAGGTTTCACAACCACACAGTAGGGTCAAACGTACGGCTACATTGTACACCAGCCTTTAAAGGGAGAGTGATGGCACAAGGATGTGAAGCAACTACTCGTCAGGAAGTGATAACGCATCAAAAATCGAGCCTTCTAGGCTGTCAAACGAGTTCATGCTCCGCAAATCAGAACAATCAAAATGAAAGGGAAACACTGGCAAACGCTAAAGAGCTAACTGGATGAACTCAGTAACAATTAATGTTATCTTCACTACAACTGGGAACAAGCAGTTTCAAATCGAGATAAGCACTCCAAATAGACCGATATTGTTGCGCTGACACGTCATATGTAACCAACACGATCAATTTGGGTTCAGGCTACAGTTATCCTACGCGAGCGTCAGTGACGGAAAGCCTAGTTGATAAGACCGATTTCGTGATTGAAACACGGTTGATGAAATCGGGTGACATTGACAAGACGACAAGCACTGATCCAGAAATGTCCTCCAAAGTAACGCTCTCAACCCGATTGGAGATCAGTATGGTGGTTTCGGTGTTGCTCCTCCTAACGCTGACACATATATTTGCACAGGTCTACGAATAGACATAATGCCATCAGAAACCATGTGATTCAAACGAAGGTACAGAAATAGTAAAATAAAGCACAACACAACAATGTCCATGGTTTCCTCAGAGGGCGAGATACTACCCGGTTGCCCAAGCCGAAGTAGGGTGTTGACTTAGGGGACACCACCCCGAGCCTTTGGCTGAATAGCCTGTCCGCAAGGCAGCGGAGCGAATTCAGGGAATCGCGCCCATTGGGAGCCGGTGACTGATTGCTCAGTTCATACGCCTTTCGTTTGTTTCTTTGTCAAACAAGCGCCCAAGTAGGATGGTCTATAAAAAAATCAACAGTCACTCTGGCCGTATAAATGAAACATAGTTGCCACCCGCACGATGCAGCTTGGCGGCCTTTGGGACACAATCACCGTGAGTGCGCGTTGATATGAAATGCTATGTATTGACTCAGGTAGAGAACTAAAGCAAAGCTCATTACCAACAGCAGTAGACCAGCCATTCGAAGTGACGTTTCAGTACCATATAACATCATCATCATCATTATACACGTCAGCTAAAGGTGGGAAACACTTCAGCTACTGTGCTGCAATACACAAAGGAAAAGGAAAATAAATACAACAGTTGCACGCCAACTGAGCTACCAGCAACGGATAGGCATCGTTTCGGTAAGCTACCGGCCAGCTACTAAGCAAAAAGAAAAATTATTATGTTTCACGCTAGGAAATGAGATGGTAGTTAGACGGGGAGGCTTAAAGGGATAGGGTGGGACAAAAAAAACCCAGCAGGAACGCCACTGAGGCCGGCTCCTTGCCATATCAACAAGTGTATCCAGCCAAATGTGTTCATCGTCTTTTGGACCCCAACCAGGGAGACGTGACGCTCCAACCGAGGCCATCTCCGAAGTGAGGGCCTTTATTCCTCTCGACCAAGTCATCGCTTGGTCACCCCTCCTCTTCTTCCATCCACATCCCTGGTGAGCAAACAACGCACGTCGTGGAAGTCGGTGGGGTGGCATGCGCAACACGTGGCCCAGCCATCGGAGCCTGGTGCGTGAAATGATGGTGCTGAGCGGTTCAGTTCGTCTTTCTATGCCATAAACAAGGCGTCGAACACGCTCGTTACTCACGCGGTGTTCCCACCAGATGTGAGCCAAACTGCGAAGACACCGATGTTCGAACGTAACTAGCCTCTTCATGTCCGCCGATCTTAGGGGCCAGGTTTCGCAACCGTACAGTAGTGTCGAACGTACCGCTGCATTATATACTCTGCCCTTCAGGGCGAGAGTAATGTCGCGCCGCCGCCATAGGTGGCGAAGGTTAGCAAAAGCCTGAAGTGCTTTTGCTATACGGTTCGTGATCTCGTCTTCGATCCCAAGGGCGCTGATACAACTTCACAGGCAGTTGAGTTTCCGAACGACTTCTAGCTGATTTCCACCAAGGATCAGCGCAGGAGGCGATCCCTGCCAGTCTTTGCGGATTGTTTTGCGTTTCGATGGTGTAAAGCAAAGCCCGAAGTGGCTGACAGCCAGTGCTAATCTGTCCAGCGCGGCTTGACACGTCTGGGAGCTGTGTCACAGATGAGAGCAATGTCGTCTGC